AAAAATCCAATTTATTTTTTTCCCCCCGTTCCAAAATTTTTTACGGAAAGTAAACTTTTTTTTTTTTTTTTGTAACAGCTCTACACACAGTTTGCACTCCCACCTGTGAAGGAAAAGCGTGTGCATGCATTTGTGAAACGTCCCTTGCACAGGACCAGTACAGGAGGGCTGACTGCGTGCTTTCTCTCACCTCATGTGTCTGATGTGAGAGAGGATGAGGAGGAGCTGAGCCAGTCGTCTGTGTTGCTGCTGCAGAGAAAGACCTGACTTAGCCATTAAGTGTATCAGAGTGTCTGTGATTTTGTCCAGAACACGGTGAATATAGTCTCTCTCTTCCAGAGATTTCAAGGTGCTGGAAAGAAAAGTGTACACACCTGGAGTAGGAAGGAGAAAGAAAACAAACAAACCACAGACAAAAATTACTTTGATGGAGTCAGATGTGCCCAAGGTACACCTTGTGGTTGCCATCTTCAGCTGTGTTAAACCATGGGAGCTGACTGTGTGCGAACCCTCCTGCTTGCCAGCCAGGTCACTGGTTTGAATGACCCTGGAGCTTGGATTTGGTCACTGTGGGCAAAGCAGGAGGAGGAAGATGATTCCTCTTCCCTGCCCGGGTCCATCCAAGGTCTGGGCCAGGCGGCAGGTGACACCTGCAGCCTGCAACTAGACATACCTGCGGGCTGCACTCTTCTCTCAGTCACTCGGCTCTGAAAGCTTGAGGAGATGCTGTTGCCCCTTGAGAGCTCTGCAACACTTACTGACCAGCCCAGGCCTTCGGCAGTTTTTGCCATTTTCTCTGCTGTTTAACGTTTGATTTTTGGTGGTTTGCTAGTCAATCTAGAACTGAATAATATGTTACCACAAAACATGTAAACAAAATCAGGGTTTGTTTACGCACTCATCTCAAGAAAGCCCTCCCAACCAAGCAAGAGTCTTGAAAGGTGCGTTCCTTCACCTCCAAACCCGACTCTTCTTTAAAAACCATGTCCAAAGCAACCTCTGTAAATTTAGCCATCTTACATTGCTTACTGCTGAAGGTGAGCAGCCTGAAGATTTGGACCAGAAGGAAATTTTTTCCAGAGATCAAAACACCTTCAAACTCCCTCTCCAACAGCCCCTCTACATCTCCTATAAAACACTCTAACCCAGGCATAAGGGCTTTTGCCAGTAGTAATTCTTGGGTGCATGAAGCACATCAGCTTTTTAAATGGGAAATTCTAAACTATGTTGCATGTTTTTATCTTGGATTTGCTCTGGACGACAACACACAGCCAATGTGAATCAGGTCACAACAGCACTCTGCTGCCATAAGGCAGCTGTTGCATTCGGCACCAGTTTTTTTCATCCTCTGGATTGAGCCAATAACTCTAAACAAGTCGTATTACTATTATCCAGTCCTGAGGCAGCAAAAGCTTAAGATGTATGTACAGTAATACAATCAAACTGGCTTGATCATGGTGTGTTCATTGCCCTGTGTCTATAATGTACTTGACAAATGTTGTGCTTTAGCCCTTCTGAATCAGCTCACAGAACCAGGAATAAATTTGGATTTTGTCCTTGGAAAAAAATTGTTTTCTGGAAGTACTTTTCATTTTGCTTTTTTAAAAGCATCATCTATAGCACAATATGCAATGCAGTTAGTGATATTAAGAAAAAAAGACACACATGTGCTAACATGCACACATACACAGACATATATACTCTAGCTTCTTGTAGCCTGCGAGCTATACGATTGGATTTGAAGGTAAGAATATTTTGCCATGCATCTGAGCAGTCAGGGAAATTGAGATTTTTTTTTTTCACCATCTTCTTGGCACACCTCACCTCCTCACATCATCTTTGTACTTCAAGGGCCTGACACCTAGAATGACTGTAACCTGAAAGTAGGTTTTATGACTTTGGGTCTTCTGTACTAAAAAGAAATATAAATTTATGTTCGTGAATGTCAGTATGATTGCCTCTTAAAGAGAGTGAATGAGAGAGAAAGAGAGACTGTTTTAAAAAACCACACAGATAAACACAGTACAACTTCTGAAAACCATCAGTCAGAGCTCTTAATTTCGATAATGAATATTGCTTTGAATTTGATATAGATAGATAGTACAACAGCCTCTTTTCTCTCAAAGCTTTTTGTGATTATTATTATTTTTACTGAAATTAATTCACCGAGGAGAAACAGCTCCTGGAGCTTTTCTCAGCTGAATGACTCAACCACCCTCACATATGCCTACTGACAATACCAGGCTTTATAGCTTAGCAGGTACCTGTAGGGGCAAGATTCGTAAATATGACTGACAAAACACAGTCCATTAGAAGGAAACATTAGTCTCATAAACCCACAGTGACTCCAGAGAAGCTTACTTCAGCCAGAGGATGCTACTGTGCCCTTGTAGCAATACCCCTTAGTTTCATAAATTCAAAACCAGCAAAAGAAAAAAAAATCTGTTAGGAGGAATTGTTTCTCACCTAGGTCTAGCCCAGAAGCTATTAAAAAGTATAAATCAAAAAAAAGCACTCCCCCAGAAACGTAGAGACTTCAGGCAATTGCCAGTCAATAACTGCCAAGAAAAATGACGTTTGGTTTTCTTTTCTGTCCCCCCACCCCCACCCCAGTGATTGCTCCTGCCCCAGGCCAATGATCAGAAATTTCCCCCAAAGAAATGCCAGCTATCCATCACACACATACCTACACACAAACAGAGTTTTGGAACAAGAGTGCAGAAAATTGTCTTAGCAAAGTGAAATTTAACAGTCTCAAAGGTCTTTCCAAGCTCTGAGGCTGAAAGCAAGCCTAAATTGAATAGCTACCAGGTTGTTTTCCAGCTCTTTCTGTAGGTCAGTATTGTAAAACATCATAGGAGCAAGAACAGAGAAAGCACCACCCTGCAAACAAGTAAAGCCTATTGGTCTGTGCCGATAACACAAAGCTATGCGTAGAACAGGGTCCCTCAGGGACTGCAGTGCTACCGTTCCAGCTGTTGGCATATAGTGATATAATTTTATATGTGTCACTATATATAGTGATATTTTTTTGCATATTACTGTAGAGGAGAATGCCCTCTACATCTTTTCTGTCACAATAAACCCCAGTTTAAGATATCTTTACATTTAGAGTTCAGGTTCACAGAACAATATCCAAGGCTCTTCTTCCCCTTCCACCGTGCCCCATTGCTCTGGATCTGTAGCAAGCCAGGCTGGGCTATGAGCAAATTCAGCTCTGTACCATGCACTCGTGTAATCATCCAGCCCCCAAAATAAAGAAATAAATAAAAAGCACAATTTAACAGGAACTAGAAAAATCAGGAGAAAAGAATAACAAAGAGCCACATGGAAGGATGTATCAGGAGGTCTACAGGATGCATAAAATCAGCTAAATCCTTCCATCTCTACAGACTAACCAGCTAACAAATTAGGTAAATCAGCTGCTAAGGCAGACGTGACCAACATCTTTGTCTCCAAAATGAAAGCCTGTTGCTTTGCCACATAGCACCACTTTTCAGATACACTCAAAAGTAAAACATATGGCATCATGTTGCCCTTTCATGTTTCTAATACTTATTTTCCAGTGTTAAGAAACAGCCCTTTATTATTGAGCTGAATGTGTTTTTCAAAAATAAAATTTTGCTTTTGAGTCAGAAGATTTATTGCTGCAGCTTTAGAGGGGCACCTTCTGGTTTGTTATTTAGCTAGAGACAATGCTGTCATTGTTACAGACATGCTTTTGCCTTGATATCTCAGGAGAAATTTGGAAGTAGCGTAAATGTATATTTTGCTTTGTAAACAAAACTTTCCATGTTTTCCACACTGAGTGAAACTAAAAAAAATCACTTGCATTTTGCCCAAGACCACATGGGAAAGGAGTGTAAAGATATTAAACAGCCTTGAAAATGTTGAAAAAAAAAAAGATAAATGTCCAACAAAAACAATAAACAGCACTACCTCACATGAAGAGACTAACAGATATCCAAGGATTTAATAAAGAAATGTTTGTGTACACTCAATGAATTAAATCCACACAAAGCTTTAGAATGCAAATGCAGACTGCTTTTAAATATGAAATGTAACATAATTATTCCAATTTGTTTAATTAGTCCACTTGTTTAAATCATTTTGAGATCAGCTGGTTTAATTGTATGCGTATATACTACAGATAGCATAAGGGCCAAAAATTCATTGTGTGTTTATCTGCTGTTTCTTTAGTAGAAGATTTGTGTATATTTACATGTGCAATCACAGAAAAATATCAGGTTAAGGGATGCTTGGAGGTCATCTAGTTCAACCTCCTGCTCAAGTAGCGGTAACTTCAGGGTTAGGTCAAGTTGCGCAGAGCTTTGTCCAGATTAGTTGTGAGTATCAACAAGGATGGAGATCTTACCATCTTTCTGGCCAACCTGTTCCAGTGCTTAACTTCTCACTGGGAAGATTTTTTGTTCTGTTCATCTGGTCAGAATCTCCCTGGCTGTGGTTTGTCTCCATTGCAGCTTGTCCTTTCCTCTTGCACCTCTGAGAAGAATCGGCCCTGGCTTCTCCACAACCTGTTCATCAGCTATCTGAGGACTGCAGTTAGACCCTCCCTTAGCCTTCCCTTTTCCAGGATGAACAAACCCAGCTCTCTCAGCCTCTCCTCACACATCATGTATGCCATGTGCTTCAGAGCACATAATATTTCATCTGTGTCCAACACTTTACCTAAGGAGGCCAGCTATATTCTGTGAAGAAAAGCATCTCCAGAAGACATTTTAGAGTATCTATGCCAAACAACACTTACACAACTATTACACATACCTCGAATTATGCTATTTATCTCTGTAATGCAGTCTAGCCTCCTAATTTGGGCATCTAAAGGGTCTGACAGTCAGAAACTCGTGTCCACATTCCCACCACCTAGTTGTTAACTCCTCAGACAGTTACAGAATTAGTTGGTTATAAGAATGCAAAAACTGAAATCTAAAATTAATTACCTTTATGCATAAAGTTAATTACAAGCAATACAGACATACATTCTGTGGCCACATATACATACACATTCAGTTTACAGTGTACTCAGATATACTGCAATAAGTGCAGTATGCAAGTCAGAGTAATACATGACGGTCTGCATAACAATGGTATAAATTGCTTTCATCATGAACCTGTAACAGCTCAACCCGAATGATGCCCTCTGATCTATCACCATCAAGACTCTTGTAAAAATGCCAGACTTCTGAGCAACTATAAACTTTCATTTAATGTAAAACACCACCACACCCAAAATCAGATCACTCATCAGATCATCAGACCAACTCTGACCTTCTACAACACAGATCACCAGTGATTTGAACCTGCTGAATATGAACCTTGAAGGAATGAAGATCTAATATCTCCTAGCCTCACTCAGTGGTCCCATCTCTCTTACGTGCAGAAGGAAATTTGCCTCTGATTACCACTGACTTCACTTGCTATATATTTTTTTTACAATTTTTCCTGAGAGGAATCATGAAACAAAAAATCCCATTAACAAAGTGAGACGTGCTCATGAAGGACAGCTGGTGATGTCTGGCAGAGGTTTGTCTAAATAACGAATTTAGTTTTCTGGATCAATATTAAATGCAGCAGTGGGACAAAAACTCTCAACAGCATGGCCTGAAGTCTTCACTTTCAAAATATGAACATCTAATGTGTTTTATTCAAACTTCTGATTCTGGTTTTTTTTCTAATTCTAATTCAATATTTCTATAATCAACTACATATTCTAGATTTATTTAAGAGGATAATTACATTTGAACATATTAGCTAAAGATCTAGACAAGCATCATTTTTCAGGAAGAACATTTAACTCTAGGAAATATTTTGTTATAATTATCAGGACAATAAAAGGAAAATAAAATGTCAAACAGTAATTACAGTTGTCACATTCTGGCATCCAAGATAAAAACAGTAGCCCTTCATTCCTAATATGCCAGGTGCTTGCCTCAGATGTCACTTTTTGGTAAGTGGTGACAATCACAACAAAACCTGAACCTTAGTATCTCATAGAACATAAATGAAATATTTTATATTTGATTATATAAATATATAATTTTGCTTGAACTTTGTTGTTGTTGTTGTTAGTAGACCAGGCCCAAGTTTCCATAAAGGAAGAAGAGCCTGATCAAAAAAACAAAGTGTGCTGTGTTTAGAGTTAGCCTTTGGTGGGAATTACCTGAATTTGTATTTCATGCAACTTGGGCAAATGATCTGTTAGACCACTTTATAAAAAGGACATACAGCCCTCCACATGTGTTTTGTCTGCAGGTTGATATCGTCTACGAGTTCAAACCCAACAAGAAAATGGGAGAACAGCTGGGTAAATCCTCAGGGCTGGGAAACTCTGGCATCTTTAGTCATTAGGTAACAACTTAGCAGAGAATTAAGTCTAAAATTTTGACTTCAGTGCCTACATTATTATTTTAGACCTCCATCATTTCTGTGAGAACACCATGGGCCTCATTTCTGCATTTAAAAATAAATTCTCAGGAGTTTTTTTCCATTTCAAACAGAAAAGGATCCTCTGGTGTGCAACAGAAATTTTCTGTGACATGCCTCAACTTGAATTTGCTTATTTTAATCTTCTCATGCAGCATACAAGTGAGCTAACCTTACATATTTATATCTATACCTACACTTGTCATCTAGTCACCTATTGTTGAAGTGTACTTCAGAATGAAATTTACAGCCCAAAAATACTTATTTCATCAACTATAAAGGAAGTGAAAGGTGATGACATCAGTTTTAGATGCCTGTATTTTAATATAAACTAAACCATGATAAAATCAGCCACATTTTTGCCATTATTTCCCTTTATTTTGCCATCACCAAAAAAGGAAAGTGTAGATTTACAACTAAGCATTGCCTTTGGATGCCCTAAGTGTGGCTTCAGCTACTTCAGTGTCTTGTAATCAGAGCTTTAAGACCTGCCAGCACCTAGTTCAAAACACTGCTCTGATCGTCCTTCACATCAGCTGTATGCATGTATCAACTACTTAATGCATTAATTTGTTGGGCCCCATCTACATCACTGAACAGGTTTGCTCGCTTCCATTCCTGCCTGGTGGCTCTGCCTGCATCTATGTTGACAGCCCCCTTTCAATTGCTGCTGTCTCAAATTGAAAACATCATTAGTGACAACAAGCAGCATTCAACCACATGCAGAAGCACCCACAATTACCCGAGTGACAGCAAAGCACACCACTTACCAGAATTGAGCAGGATGATGGACTTAAGGCACACAAATTCCTCCCCTTGAAGGTTCATCATGCGAAACCGAGCAGCAGTAGCCAGCAGCATGTCAAAGATTTCCACCATGCCCTCTACACATTTCCCTTGATTCCTGTGTGAATACCATCAAGGGGAAGATATTCACAGCTTTAACCTGGTGGTAGCATGAGCTTTTCATCCCCCTGGATCATTCCCCTCCAATTTGATTTAATCAGTTCACTAGCTAGCACGTGACTTCCTACTCTATGCTCATTTGGTGTATGTGTGATTACAAAAGCATAGTTCTCAGTATCCCACATAAAATGAATAAATAAGTAAATACAATATTCCTCCCAAAAATGTCAATTTCATAAACTCATCACCAAGGCATTACTGTGGTGAAACATAGGAGATTGACTCAACCAAACCTTCACACTGAATTAATGAAGATTGTAATTATTTTTTACAAAAATTTATTCTGCAAATTTTATAGTCATGGAATTTTAGATCATTCAACCCAAACTATTCTATGATTCTATGATTCTATTATTTGCATTGCAACCTTTTACCAAAAACTACCTACTTTTACTTTTATTAGGACTTTCTGAGTGAAATTTTAACATAAAAGACTTAATGAATGATCAGATCTGCTGTTTAAAAATATACTGTTTTTTGGATACAGCTTTTACGAACAAAATTTTGAAGACCATTGCTATAGGAAAATGCACAAGAAATTTCCAATGATCAGATGGCTATTCCACTATAATTTGTAACGCGAACATAGATTGAGCATCTCCTAATCTCATTGTGACAAAACCAACACTGACTACCAGCACAGACACATCTGCCTCAGTCCTGATACAGCCATGCTGTTGAGACCCTGTAGCAAATGTCTAAATCACACCAGATCCTCAAACAAAGCAGTCATCCTCCTTTTTGACTACAGCCTGAGAAAATTCTTTGCACTTCTCAATCATGTCTAAACCTAAAACTGAATCAAAGAAGGAGAGGGGGTACCTGCGAGCACTTGTGCACCAATCTCCTTTCAAGTTCACATACGTATTCAGCTTAATTTCGTGCTTGAACTTAAATCTACATCTCCCTTATCCCAGAGCAGTGCCTATGAGTCAGTGACTATGGCATATGACAGAAGCTATTTCATCTGCTTTCAGAGATATTTAAACAAAGCAGGACAATATCAAGAAAACAAAGTGAGAATGCTCCCTTAAAACAGCGAGTAAAGTGTTGGTTAAAATACAGTAATATTTGAAAACATGGGCTCCCAAACAAGTTTTCCAATCACTGTTACAACAGCACACGTTCTCTGACTTTTCTGTGAGAAAGAGACGATCCAGCCTTGGGAATGGAAATATTAGAAAGGTATGTTTAGTACGGAGGATGGGTTGCTCCTTCTCGACTCGGGTCCCTATTGGCTACCAGGCAGCTGCATGCCGAGCACTCCTAAGAAGTGCCTAATTCTCCCCACGCATTTCACTAGCATTTAGCTCAGAACTTGATTTCTATTGCATGGCAGGCACCCAGTCAGAAGCTGCAACAAATGGCAATGCAACTTTTATGGCCTTTTCTGTCTCTTAAAAATTTTGCTGAAGAAATGACGGTTTAAACTATAGCAACTTTTTGGGTATGAGCAGCAACATTGATAATTTCACATATTAGGTTCCCACAGATGATGGTAACAAGTGCAGTGTAAAAGGTTGTGGACAAAAGTCTAAGTCTTAAGATCAGCAGGCAGGCAGACTCAATGCTATGTTCCATGTAAAGTGTGTGATGCCTTTTGCACCCTGATTTACAATGCCCTGACCAATGAGCTGAACTAAAGGACTGATCTCAGCCTGCTATATCTGAACATGGCTTTACTGAAATTCACAGTTCTGTCTCTTTTGCCTGAAGGCTGAATCTGAACTCAGACAGAGACTTTTCAATGATTTGATGACCATTCAATTGCACTGTTCAGTGCTGGATGTGGAGAGCTCTTCAGCAACGAGCATCTTGCTGCCCTGATGAATCCTGCTTAGGCAGAATAAAGCTGAAAATCTGAACTGGTTGGATTCAAGTATATTCGTCCACTGGTGGACATCAATAAAATAAAGAAACGCAAAGTAGTATTTAATAGCACCACTGTCAAATAAAAAACAATCAAAAATCAGGCACTCAAAACAAGGCATGAGAATACGAACAATTACTGTTACCTCAAAATCTGTTTTGTGTGCTAAAATTTAAATCCTATGGAAGTAAAAAACCATAATTTTTTACAGTGGGACAAGTTCCACTACTTCTGATACAATATTTTTGCCTATAACTAGAGAATGTATTATGTACAAAATAGTTCAATGGACTGTAGTTTACAAGATCAATATTCCATTCAAGATCCTCTTGCCGACAAGTACAACCTCTGGACAAAAATCTCTAGTCCTGCAACACATAGTCAATGTGCTTAAATCTCCATGTGTGTCTATTTCCCACCAATTGAACTCATATGGTAAATGATAAATAAAAATTATGTAAATTTAAGACATTCTAAATACTTTCTAATCTCATTTGCTTTGCTATCTGCTGTGTGTGAAATACCAGGCTACTCCATAAGAAAAAGAAGAGTACCTCTCTAGGTAGAGTTAAGTACTTTAAATGAAGTTAGATACCTACATTTAGGTATTCATGTGTGCAAGCAACAATTTAGAAATTTCTGTTTTATTTTTAGAGTTAGGCAGCAGATCCAGCTCCACTGAAATCAGTGGGAATGGCAGGAGCTTAGTATCATTGAAATGCAGGCTTCTAATCAAATGTTTCTGTTATCTAGGCTACAACACTGATTTGCTCTGTTAACCAACAAAAACTATTTGAAATAGGAATCTCCAGTCCTCCTGAATTGCCTTCTAACTTTCTAACATAAGCTGATAGTATTATCACATCTTCACAGCTGTATATCCAGTTGATAGGAAGGCCTATCTAGGAAGGCCTAGATAACTTTCCTGGAGGACAAATTAAGCAATAGATTTGAAAATTATCCTTATCCCACCATCATGCTGTTGTCTGTGTGTACTCTCAGATACAGAAAACAAAACAATAAAAGCTTGTTTACTGCAAAGCATCAGAGTGTATTCTCAGAAGAATCCTTAACACTTGGCTATTGGGAAATGTTTAGATAAGTTAAAGCATGTGAATTAAAGGTCTTAAGTTACTGCATAAAAGTACTATGATGTGCATTAACTTTAGTAAGTCTACAGAATCACAGCATCATCCAGGCTGGAAGGCAGTTCAGGATGTCTTTAGTCCAACCTTCCACTCACCAGGCTCAGCTCACTCAAGGCTTTATGCAAGTCTGGTCTTGAGAACTTCCAAGGATAGAGACTGCACAACTTCTCTCAGCTTAATTATTTTCATCATCATGGGTTTTTTTTCTCCCCTATATCCAGTCAGAACCTCCTCTGCTTCAACTTATGACTCCTGTGTCTCAGTCTCCCATCAGGCATCTTAATAAAGAGCCTTGATTACCTCCTTGTAGATTTTAGGCTAGGCATGCTCAAAAGCCATCTCTTCTCCAGGCTGAACAAATCCACTTCTCTGAACCACAAGGCATGTGCTCCCACCATGTGGCTCTCCACCAGGTTTACTGAAGTTTATTAACGTCTTTCCTGTAATGAGGGGCACAAAGCTGGATGTGGTATTCCAGATGTGGTCTAATGAGTGCCAAATAAAAATGGAATAGTCACTTCCCTTTCTTTACTGCCTACACTACCACTGATACAACCCCGGATACTGTTGGCCTTCATTGCTGCCATGTTGCAGTATTGGCACACACAGATTGCTGTTCACCAGCACTGCAGGTCCTTTCTAGCAGAGCTGTTCCGCAGCTAGTTAGGCCCTAGCTTGAACAGTAGCAGTGGATTAAGTCCATCACAGGCGCAGGACTTTGCATTTCTCCTGGTTGAATTTCATGAGGTTCCTGTCAGCCCATTCCTCCAGGCTGTCTAGGTCCATCTGTATGGCAGCTCTGCCCTCAAACATAGCAACTGCACCCCCTACACCCTGGTGTCATCTGCAGATTTGAAGGCAGTGCACTCCATCTCCTCCTCCTGGTCATTGTCAAAGACATTTAACAGGACACACCTTAGCATAGACCTCTGAGGAAATCAAACTGTAACTAGTATCAAGGCAGAGTATGAACCATTAACAAGAGACCTCGTCATTTTATCACAGAAGACAATCAGGTAGGTCAAGCACAATATACCCTAAATCTATGCTAATTCACACTCACCATCTTCTCCTTCCTGTTCACATAAACAACTTCCAAGAGAACTTGCTCTATGATTTTCCTCGTGATAGAAGTGATGCTGACTGGCCAACCTGTAGTTCCCAGACTGTCTTTCTTCTTTTGGAAATGGGTGCAACATATGCCTTTCTCCAGTAATTGAGGACCTCTCCTGGTCTCCACAGCCTTTCAAAGATGATAGAGAACAACCTCGCAATGACATCATCCAACACTCTTGGATGCAGCCCATCCCATGGACTTGTGTGTGACAAGACTTCTTAAGAGATTCATGACTCGGTCCTCTTTTACTAACTCAGTCCTCTCCTCCTTGAATCCTGTACGTAGGAATAAGAATCTAGATTTTATTTAAGTAAGTCTTGGAAAAAACATAGATATCAGGAACGTCTTTTACAGAAACACGGGATCAAGTGACAGACAAGTAAACATTAACAGTGAAGGGTGTTTAGGTGAGGGGAACAGGAACTCAGGGGATGGTCTCATCGAACTTCCCATTGAAAGGGAGAAGCCCAAGTAGGCACAGATGCACCCATCAAATCAAAGCCTGACTGTGTATTTGTTGTCCCTCTGTCTTACTTGATCACGGTACTTCATTTGATGACAAGGGACTGCTGAGAACAGATGGGATCCACCAGACTAGGAGAAGGAGGGTCATCTTCACAAATGGACTTAGTAACTTGGTGAGGAAGTCTCTAAACAAGGCTTGTTGCAGGATGTGTTCCTAAGCCTAAAAGTAGGTTAGGAAACAGGGGAGGTATGATTGAGATAAAGCTGCAGGGACAACATTCACATCCCCAGTTAGAAGGGAGGGTATTCACAGAGTTAACTCAAATGCCTGTGCTCTA